TCTTGGAAGATGTTCTTCTACTCGTTGTCTTCTTCTTCTCTTATTTCTCCTTCTTCCATTGTAATGTTGTTTTAAACCTTTTTGGTTAGGGATCTATGGATCCAGATTTGATATTATGATGTAGTTTTGGATCTGGACCTTGAGATTTTAATTGAATTGAGTATGTGATTCTGTTCTTAATGCAATTGTGAACTAATCCTTCATTCAATTGAACTTATAGGAATTTTCATCAATGGAAATTGAGTTTATTTCTTAGATTTGAATCACGTGCCTAGGTTATTGAGATCTTAGGAATAAGTATCATAATCTAGTAATCCTATAATTTTCAGAACTTAATGCAATATTTGATTGAATTTCACCTAAGGAATTATTGGTGTTTAATTAGATATTAGGATCAATGAGGCAAGGAATTGTCCTTTGGTTAAAGAAGTGAAATTAATTATCAATCAATTAAAATTCTTAAGAGTTCAGAACATTATTACATTGCAATTGAAAATCTAGTGAAGTGATTCCTAATATTTTTCATATAACATTTTTAATACAAATTTCATATTCTGTTTTCACAACACATTTGTTACCTCTTATTGTTCTTATTCCTTACTTTTACATGTTTACAAATCTTCCAATGAATTGTGTGGCTCAAATAATTATTGAATTGTGAATTGGTAATTGAAAATAAGATCCTTGTGGATGATACTTGGAACTCATATTGATTTCCAAATTTTATTACTTGCTACAACTACCTAATATACTTGTTAGTGAGGAATTTTACGCAAAGAATACTGCTGTAATTTCAATCCAATTTGTGTATATCAGGGTGCACCACAGGTCACACACTCTTTTTCAGACTTGGCCTTTGATTAACACCTTTGCCAAGGGGCCTGTGACCGCACACGCTGTATTCGTGAGGCAGAGGCTATTCGGCGACCATCCATGGTGTTAACTGATTAAGTCCCTGAGATTGAGGGCTGATCACAATGTCATAATGAGCGTGACTAACGTGTAGTGAACGCACGTGGGTGTCGTATGATGAATGTTTGATAGTGCAGTGAGCATACCTGATTGTGATTGAGAATGAAATGATGGAATTAATACCTTGTACTTGTTGATACATGATTTAAAATATATTAGAAAATATATAGAATGGGCAAGGTGAGACTCTATGCTTGTTTATGTGTGTGGTAGTATAGAGTACTCACCCTTATTTTTATTTTTCAGGTGACTAAGACGATCAGCATCGGACTCAATAAAGGGATGGATGAAACCACTTTGGGACTTAGAAAGTTATTTTCTTTGAAAATTCTGATGTAATTGAACTAGTCCTGTAGCAATGACTTGATATAAATTGTAATTCATCTTTATTTTGAAACACTTTACTGAACTGTGTATTGAAAACTGTTTGGATGAAAATTTTTATTATTCCCAATTTTACCAAATTTATTTATTTAAAAAATTAAATTAAAGTGTTACAATTATTGCTTTAAAGAAGAGAAAATGTTATGTAGAGATATTTGGTTAATATTTGGTGTGTATCATAGTTATTTTTAAAATCAATGTAGATAAATATTAATAGTGAGATTAAATTCAATCATATAAAATGAGAATAAAATTGTCATATTATAATACTACTTTTTTTATTTATCAATCCATATAAATAAGAAATTACATAAACTAAGAAATATAATCATTTTGTTCGATTTAATTGTTCAACTTTCCAATCTATTCTTTGTTCAACTTTTTTTTTTATGAGAGATCTATTCTTTATGTTTTCTCTTACTTTCTTATTTTTTTTTTCTCCCTTTTCTCCCTTTCATTTGCCTTATGGTAATCATCTTTGATAAATATTTTTTTTTACTACATTCACTATTATTTATCTGTTTATATTAAGAAATTTAATTATTTTGTTGTAGCTAATTGTTAAATTTATTAATTTATTCTTTAAATCTTTTTTTGACACTTGAAGTATTCAAATAATATAAATACTGTGTATGAACAAAAGAGTATCAATTGAAAAATAATTAATATTATCTTAAACTTCTGTATGAACAAATAAAAAGAAAAAAATTTCTTCTTTTCTTTAGACAAATAAATAAGAGCAAAAATTTTATTTTTTTAAAATTTTATAAAGAATAAATCATTTATTTATAATTTTTAATTTCATGAAAAGTGTTTGTGTTATAAAAAGAACTAGGAGGGTATATTTTATAATAATATTTAAAATATATATATATATATATATATATATATATAGATTAAGAGAATAACATATTTTATTAAATTAATTTTTTAATTTATATTAAAAACATATAATATGAACTTATAAATAGTAAATTGAATATTATAATTTTTAATAAAAAAATTTATTCATTAATTTTTTATTACATTTCTTTAGTTATAAATTAAAAAAAATGTTTAAATAAAATGCACGTAATGAATATCGATACCTATTAAATTGCTATTAATAAAAAAATTTAAAAAGTACGGAGACGAGTCTCACCCTATATAACCTGACCTGAATGTAGCATATATTTTACTAATTTCTTTATCTACTTCTATCCAGTAAATGTGACGTAAATATAATATTTAATTTATGTTTAAAGATAAAATTGATAAATTTTAATTTTTATTAAAATACAAATTTTGATGTTAGTAATACATTAAATCTTAAAATATTACAATTATTATATATAATATTTAATATTTTAAAAAATTCATATATACTTTATGGTTAGGTTAACATAAATTAAGTAAAGTACTTACGTGAGTAATAATCTTTAAATTACTATATATTTTAAAATGTATAAATGGTTTAAATGTTTAAAATGTAATTTAATAACACCAGTTTATATATATATATATATATTATTTAATTTTTCATAAAAGTTTATAAAAAAATTTTTAAACCTTTAAAACCTATTATTTTGTATCTTTAAAATATATTTTTTTTAATCTTTAAAATTTTGTTGTATTTTCTTTTAACACCTTTGTGTATCCTAGATCTTCAAACCTCATTTTAAGAAGATATGCATGGTAAGCATCCAGCTCTGGATCAAAAGCTACTGCTTCAACAATCAACTGAGTTTGAATTTATATACAAAATAACTTTTGAATTAATATAATGTTAAATGTCACTTTAGAATTATTTACAAACCCTATTTATAAAGATAATGATTACATCCACTCTCAGAGTCTCAATTCATCATGAAAATGATGTTTTGTATTGATACATTATTTATTGCTCTTTTAGATATTTCTCATGTCTTTCCTGCACAATGGTCACTTTTGCATCATACAATTTTTGCAACATTCGCTTAAGTCAATTTTCTAACTTAAGCAAAAATTATAGAAACAATTCGCTAGAGGTAATTCGCTTAAGCGGTACATAAATCGCTTAAGTCGTGCGATACAGTACAGCATTAGCTTAAGCAAAGAATATTAGCTTAAGCTAATGCATGTTAGCTTAAGTGAATTTTGACAAAAATTTTAGATTCATCTTTGTCTTTGTTAGTTCATCATTATCTAAATTTTGCTTTAGCAGATAAGGGTGGCTTAAACGACAATTACAGTGAATAAATTTTTTGCATTTCTTCTAGTTCAAGAGATCTCTTTAGTTATTACCCATATTTTGATCAAACCAAATTTTAGTATAATTGGGATGAATTTTCAAATTTACAAAGATCATAGTTAAAAATATAACAATTCAAAGAGAAAATAGTTATATAGATTTAGGGTAGATTTGAGAAACGAGTTTGTATACTATTAAGGAGGAGAAATATGAAAGAATTTGAAATAGGAAAAGATTACCTAATTTTATTATATATCTTCCCTTGAATATCACTTTTAAGACTTTTTATCTAGTAAATTTTAACTGCACCCACTCAATTTATCATTAAACTTTAAATTGGAAACACAAAATAAATTCTTGAACTTGCTTCAAAAATAAATATGAGAGTAAATTTGAAAGAATATGATATAGTTTTATGTGAATGAACAATTATGTTCTTTTGTAAATGATAATTACCTTAAAAAGAATTATGTTAAAGAATGACCTGTTTTAAATATTTAAAAGATTAAGATTAAATTTTAAATATTTAATTTTTATCTCTCATGACTAGATCCTGACATTTTTTCAGAGAAATTGTTTTTGTACTTTGGTTAATTGCATATACCCAATCTGTGTTTAGGACCATTTATGGAAATGTTTTCAGAGAAATTTTATTTTCAAACAAGAACCCTATGAGAAAGCAAGCAGCATCACTGAACACAATAATGTAAAGACATTTTGATCTTTCTTCAAGCCATATGAAAAACCCCATTCTTTCATGTTCAAGTCACTTGAATTGGAGATTTTCAATTCCTTCATTTTTACATCTCTCATAGGCTAATAAGTTCGCTAATATCTTTTCTTACTATCTATTTCAAATCCATCCTAAAATATACATCAAATTTAAATTTATTTATCTAGAATTTTCTAAGATAAAAAATTAAGTTCCCTTTTCAAAATATCAAAAAGTTAACTTGACTGATAATTGTTAAAATTACAAACAAAATTTATTTATTTTCATAATACCAAAGCTTTCACTAACATTTGGTTGGATGACATTTTAACCAAAATGACAAAAATTGCAAAGCAAAATAAACATTTCACATTGTTTGCAACATGAATAATAATAAATTTAATCAGTTAAATTTATTTCAAATCGTTTTTTACTCAAAACATACCAATTCAAACATAAAATTTTAGTCAAAATATGAAAATTTTAAAAATTTTCCTCTTCAAATCCTAATCGTGACTTAAAAGATATTTACTAATTTTTTTACCTTAACCATTTTAACTTATTTCATATAAGAAATTTATAATAAATTCCTCAAATATTTGAATAACAATAATAATTTAACGGTTTTAAGTATAATAAAATTAGTAAAGGGACCCAATTTACACAACTTTAAAATATAGAAACTCAACTAACTCCAAAAAATTAAGAAAGCTAAAATCATTCAAAAGCCAAAATAAAAAATACAATTGAGTCATTAATGTGTTAGCATGTCACATTATGCACCATTTAGAGAGACTCACGCAGATTTTGACATCAAAAGGGAAGCAGGAAAAAAAAAAAAAACAGAGATTTTGGAAAACAGAGACAATAAGCCCTCTGTATCTATCAAATATTCTTGAACCCAAAACAAAGAAAGAAAAGTGGGAATACAATAATTTACACGTACTTTTCCAGAATACAAAATCACTGAGGACGAAAACAAAGATTTGTGATTAAAGAAGGGGGTCACTAGGAGCTCTTTAATTCCACTTCTTTGTTGTTTTGCCTCAAATTCCTCCACAGATATCTCCCACTAGCCATGTCAACGAAAACCCAAAATCCATTCTCAATCATCTGAAAACCCAATCAACACTCTGGTCAATAGAAATACAAAACGAAACCCAAGACAGAAAAATCCTCTGAATATGTCATAATAAAACCTTTAAGGTATGCACTTAAGTCTCCAAAAGAAAAAAAAAAATTACAAAATCAACTAAAATTGTCCCAAATAAATAACATGAAATACAATTTTACTTGAGCTATGAACATTTCTTATAGCGACATTTTTATTCATATACAGGGTATACAGGGTTTGAATTCAAAACTTCATTTAAAGGATACTTAAATAAGTAGCACTTAAACAAATCCTCAATTTTCCACATGAATTTGGAATTCTTTTTTTATAAATTTACTTTAAATCTTTAATTTGTCTTGAAAAACATTACAGCAACATTAGCCACCACAAAACCTTCACCCTAGGAAATTAAGTTCTCTGCCACACACAATTATGAAAAACAAAAAACATAATAAGGAGCAATGTAGAAACATGATAATGGGGTACCTTTTTTAAACCAAAATCTTCCTTTTTGTTTGCGGATTTTTCTTCTTCAGCTGAATTTTCGGAAGCCAAGTCAATCTTCGGTGACGAACGCACCGTTTTCCATGCAAAATAACCAGCCAACACGGCGGAGAAGAACACCAAGATGAATCTCAAAGGACACATCTCTCACAACAACAAAATAAAAAAAAAAAACAAAATGGGACTTTGAATTTCAAGGTACGATTTTTCAGCAGCGGAAATTGAAAAGGGAGAAAATTGTTGACAACCCACGAAAGACAAAGGGTGCGAGAATGTCGGGGTGTTTTTTTTTTTCCCTTCTAGAAGTAGATGAAGGAGAAGGGAAAAAGTGAAGAGGGTGTATGAGAAAAACCAGAACGCGTTGAGTTGTTCCTTTGTTTTTTGTTTTCTTCTCTCTGGAAAAAGAAAATTCTCAACCACCACTTTGTTACTTTGGGAATTGTTTGCTTGAGAACGAGATTTGTTTACAATGTCAAAAGGTAGCTTCCCCAACTGCTAACAATTGCAATATTGGGTCAGCTCTTTTGGCTAAGTCTTGGTGGTGAAGATGATGGGTAAAATAAAAGATAGAATATTATAGCTTTTCTTCTATTTGCTAAATACTTAATTAGATTTTTTTTATTCATGGAAAATTACAAAGTGGGTAAGAGGAAATATGCTAAATTGGTTTAGGGCCAAAAACTATCTATTTTTTATTTTATTTTTTTAGGTACAATTGAATTATCCATTGACATCATGCTTGTTTTAGGCATACCATTTATGTTCTATTCATTTAATGGTAATTAAACTGTAGATGTATTAGTGATAATAATAATAATAAATACGTTCTTAATTTATACAAAATAATTATTTGTAATTAAATAATATGGTCTAATAAAAAAGTAAATAATACGACAAAAATAGAATAATATTATTCAAATGTGCAATACTCGAATTGGCATGCCATGAATTAATAATCAATATTATATTTATTATTCCTTTACGTCTATCCATGTGGAGGTATTATAATCATAGATGCAGCAACTTTGCTTAACCATAAAATAAAGTCAATATTATAAGGTTTTTATTTAAATCCTCTTTCTTTTAGTTCAACTTATTTCCGTCATATATTAGTCTTCAATTGCATTTTTTTTCTTTTTGTCATCATTTTGATTGGTTTTTTTGGTTTTTTTTTTTCATGATTTTGATTGGTTTGCTTTCTAATGATTTTCTCCCCTTGCTAGAATGTCTCGGGCCTTTTTTTCTTCCAGCTAACAAATTATAGGAGAAAAAATAATAATTTTTTTTCATAAACTAAAAACTCTATATTTTTAAATTTTTAGAAAATTTATAAAAAAATAAAATTTAATTTTAATTTATAAAAAAATTACTTTATCATTATTAAATTTTTTAGTCTTATAATTACATATTAAAAAATTTATCCACGTTAAGCCTTAATCTTATTTGTATGAATGTGAAATTTTTAATAATGAATTTGTTGGAATTTTATACGTATGAATTAACATAAATTAATTTTTGTTATAATTTTAATTTAATTCTGCATTAATTTGATACTAAAATATTGAACTGTGTTGTTTAATCCATATTTTTATTAATTATTATTATTGAGCTTATTTGTCATAACTTTATTATTAGTATATATGATTTTATAATTATTGTTATTGGGTTAAAATATAATGAGTAGGTTTAATACTTCCTAATATTAACTAGAGAGACTATGCTTCTATCTGAAAGGGTGATAGTAAATTTTTTTCCTCTATTTTATTTTTCATAGATCAAGAAAGCACCCAGTCATAAACATATCAATCTCTACCATTCTGATTAATTTTAACATCCAAGTCTAATCCTAATATGATAATGATTTTTCTATTCAAAAATAAGTGTTGAGAACGTATATTTGTACATGTAATGAGTTCTAATAGATTAATATGAGATTTTGGATTTTCTTTGATTATTCTCAAAATTAATTTGAGACTTTTGTTATTGGTAATGTTGTGAATAAATCGACATCAAAATTGTGTGAAACGGATTAGTGTATAAGGAGAATTTTAGTTTCAAATCTGAATTTGAAAGCCCCCAATCCATATGTTTGTGAAATTATTTTTAAGTTCAAGAAATGACTAGAGTGGAAGAAGAAAGTTGCTCAAAACCAAGGGAGGGCCAAATGAAAGGAAGGTGTTTGTTGTGGTTAGAAATGGAATGAATGTTAAAGTAAAACAAATTGGAGTAGTTACTTTGAAATTAAGTAGTGGACATGAGTTGATTTTTCAAGACACTATTAGTGTAGCTTCTTCTTTGAGAAGAAATTTACTTTCAATTTCTATTTTAGATGATTGTGGTTACTCTTTTCAATTTAGATCTAATAAAGTTTTTTTGTATTATAAAGTTGTTGTTATTGGTTATGGTGTTAAGTTGAATGAATGGTATGTATATGTTGAATCTTGATTCTCTTTCTATTGAACAACATTTCAATGTTAATAATGTTGTTGGGCAAAAGCGTGGAAAAGTTGTCAAGAATTCTTCTATATTGTGGCATGATAGATTAGGATATATATCCTGATAAAGGATGGAGAGATTGCTCAAGGAAAACATTCTTCATAATATGAATTTCTCAAATTGTAATACTTGTGTTGATTGTGTGAAAGGGAAGCTCAATGTTATAGTAAGGAAGAAAAGAATTGCTAGGAGTGAAGGGATATTGTAGTTGATTCATACGATATGTGTGGATCACTTACTCCCATAGCTTTTGGAGGATTTAAATACTTTATCATATTCACTGATAACTTCTCTAGATTTGGCTGGGTTGATATGCTATGTGAGAAATCAAACTTTTTATATCCTTTCAAAACCTTTAAAATTGCTACTGAGTTAAAATTTGTCACACAAATTAAGTGTATTAGGTTAAACAGAGGTGGTGAATTTTATGGAAGGTATGATAAAACTTATAGAAATTTGGTCCCTTTGTGATGGGAATCAAGGAAGGCCTATTGAAGACAAAGACTTGAAGGCATTGGAAGAAATTCAAGGACCAATGACAAGGGTAAGGGCAAAGAGAATAAATGGAGACTTAAAAAATATTGTTGTTGTCTTATTTGAAAGAGAGCTTAATTTAGAGTTAGAAAAGCTCAAGATAATCAATTACATATGCTTAGAGGATTTGGACCCTAATGAGTTTTATTAGGATTTAATTATTATATTTAGTTTATTTATTTTAATATTAGTTATTACTTATTTTGAGTTTTTATTTAGGATAAAATCTTGTTATTTTATTTAGTTTATTTGAATTTAGGCTTGTTAGTAAAAGAAGCCCAGTAGGGTTTATGTTAGTATTGGTTTACAAGCATTAAGCATATATAAGCTCTTATTGTTGCAACCGGAGCACGACGGGACAGCGATGATAGGGGGTCACCACCAAACTTTATTAATGAAAAACATTGGAAAAACTTTTGATAGAAATAATCTTTGAAATCAAATTTAGGCTCAGGAGTTGTTTACGCGTGGAGAAGGTATTAGCATTTACGATTAATTGTGCAAGAATCATTTTAACTTTAAAAATATTTATTTCTCTCTAAAAGAAAACCATTGATGTTTTTTTTTTTATTTTCTGATTTGTCATTATTTTTTAGTCTTGTTTCTCATTCTTATAGTTTTTTTTAAAGTTTTAATCTTATATATATATATATATATATATATATTTTTTATAAAGAAATAAAATTAAAAGTTTTGAATTAAAGGAATAAATTATATATAAAAATGCTATTTTTCTTTTATTTTTGTATTAAATAAATTTAAATTAAATATGACATGATTTCTTTTATTTTTCTTAAAGTAAGAATTCATTTTTATTTATTTTTTTATTTTTAAATAAAGAGCTAAAAAAATTTAATTGGAATTGGAAAAGTGGATTATTTATAAAATGTTATTCTTTTTTTTATCATATTAAATAAATTTGAATAAAATTTTACTCGATTTTTTTATTTTTAAGTAAAAATTTATTTTGTATATATTTTTTAAATACAGAAACATAATTAAAAAAAATTAATTTGAATTGAAAGAAAGAATTTATCATAGAATATTATTGCCCCCTCTCTCTTTTTTCTTTTTTCTTTTCATTTTTACATTTTTGGCATTAATAAAAATAATCTTAAACTATTTTTTTCTTTGATATTTTATTTATTTGTCCTTTTTTTGAAATAAACATAACAATTTTGGTTTTTTTTAGAATTATTTTAAATTACTCATTGTTTAAAATTTTTGTAAAATAATTTAAACTTGAACAAAAATAAAAATTTTTGAACTTGACGGGTCAGTTTCTTGCACCTACATATCTCCCGTATACAACGAAAGAATCAAAGCAACCATGTAGTTCTTTTGAAAATTGGGTTTAGATGAGTTTTAAAGTTTTTTTTAAAGCTTGATGTTTACTTTATTATTGTTTTTTTGTAAATCCACTCCTCCATAGGATTCAAGTTAATATACGACTACTGAATAAACCCTTACGATTCAAGTAATGTTGAAAGTAGGTCTACCACTCTATCAAAATTACTTAGCCGTTACGTGGATTTAAAAGACCTTTTTTAAGATAACCAAAATGTCCTATTAATATTGGATTCTTTTTGTATACAATAAGAAAATAAACAAAAAATATATAGAACAATAAAAAACAAACACAATAGCGAACAAAAATAACAAGAAAATAATTCTTGTTTGATTTAAGAATTAGTTTTTTTGAAATTTGCAAAGAAATTAGAATTTTTAAAATTTACGAAAAAAAAAGAATTTTTAGGGTTTGAAAAATTTAGAGTTTTATAATTTGCAAAATTGTTAGAGTTGAACAAGAAAAAAAAAATTACTTTTTAGGGTTTGCAAAAAAAACACTTTTGGGTAGAAAATGTTTTAGGGTTTGCAAAAAGGATATTTTTGGGTAGAAAATGCTTGAGGGTTTGCAAAAAGATATTTTAAGGTTATAAAGAAAATGTTTTAGGGTTTGCAAAATAGACATTTTAGGGTAGAGAATGTTTTAGGGTTTAAAAAAAAGATATTTTAAGGTTAGAAAATGTTTTAGGCTTTGTAAAAAAGATATTTTAAGAGAAAAAAATATTTTAGGGTTTGTAAAAGGACATTTTAGTGTTAGAGTTAAGTTTTTCTTTAGGTTTTTAAAAAAGAGGATGCTGGGTGTTAAAAAGGTTTGATTCGTAAGACGGGATGATTTTTGGGTTAAAAAAACATTAAATCTTGTATGAATAAACGGGGGATAAGAGAGGGGCACACAACAACGACAACAAAAAAAGAAAAAGGAAAAAAAAGAAAAGAAAAAAGGGCCTACTTGTGACGGTTTAGGATTCACGGTGAGATATCATCTTCAACCCTCTAGCTTTGTTCTCTTTCGTTGATCTTAAGATGTGCTTTTGAGTGCTCTCAAAATGTTGACTCTTTTGGAATGTTGATTATTTACAATCCTCTCCTCTTTGTCTTGTTGTGCTCCCTGAAATTCTCGTTCCTTTTCTTTTTGTCTCCTAAATTCTTTCAA